AGTAAGATATTTTAAATAGAATGCAATTAATTCTAAAATTATATTACTTATCTACAGTTTTATAAATTTAAAATTGTGCCAAGAAAGAATATATGTAGTAATATTAGAAATCTAAATGCTTTAACTATAATAAGAAAATTAATAACACTAATGAATAAAGTAGAGCATTGAAAATTGTATTTCAAGATAATATTTTTGAATTCTTGAATTTCGTTAGAGAATTTTATTCTATCTTCTTCGATAAATACGTTCGCCATGAGCTTAAATTGCCTGTTGGAATACATTTTTTTAATTTAATCACACGGTAAGTTTTTTTAGAGCATTCTTTCCAACTCGAGAGAAATTGTTTGAGACAGAAATAACTAGTGGGTAGGAGAGAAGATACGCTGTAAAATAATAGAGTCATTTCAATTTCATAATCATAATTCATAATTATAAAAGGTGCAAAGACAGAAAAGAGCCAAGTACGAAGATAAAATTAACCAACTGTGAAAGCAAATGGGAAAGAAATTAAATTAAATTTTAAATATATACGATAAATGAATATCGCACACGAGAATTATTTGCAAGCTGAAGGAAATATAAGCGATGAAAAGCGCGCGTCGCTCATTGCCATGGTGACTTGTTGGCGTACGTGTTAGGTTAGGTTCCTCGCGACCTACCTCGTCTCTCTTGTTACGCCTACTACTACTATGAAAAACTACACTGTTATTGTTGATGAAAACTCCATATTATTAAGAAATAAATATATTGTCTCAAAGATGTTTTGCTTCTTCTTCTTCTACGAATTCAAATATTACCCATCATTTATTATATTTATTCTTTGTCCTCTGATCTTTCGAGGGGACGGAGAGCAAATATTTTCTCTTTTTTCTTCTTCTTTTTTTTTTTTTTATCAAAACGCTCTCTAAGTATCACGATAAAGCCTATTTATTTGGTGGAAGCAAAATTTTTTTTCTTATTTTTTGACGCTTGTAATGATACTTAAGTGAAAATCCTCGGCAACCAAAGGGCTTTGTTAACAATGTAGGTAACATTATTACATACATATAATATTCTCTTCTTCTTGCTGTCATAAAGATCGCAAAAGATCTCGATAAATGAAGCCAAGATAGTCGCGGCGGGAGAAGATCGTAAGAAATGAAAAGGCGCGGGTCGTGAGTTTTAGAATTGTTGCGTTGAAAGACGAGCTAAATGCCGCAGATACTGATAACGACAGTCGCGCGTTATAATCGGCTTTCTTGCTCTCGTCGGGCTCTCATCCGATGCTAAAAGCTACAAATTCCGTATCGGAAAATCGTAGCTCCGTTGATCGGGGAATACAACTACTAGTTAGCGATAAGAGGCAATGGCGAGGCGATTGACTCGGCGGCGCTCGGGAACGAGATGCTCGCGCGAAACTCCGGCATCGCGGGGTTTTCGATGATTGTTGCCGGCGTCGTAAGCAGGAGTCGTAGCGATAATGGAAAGACGCGAGTCATCGTCGAAAAACGAGAGCCGAGGCCGATATAGTTAACGTCCGCAATGATGAGCCTCCCGGCTCGTACGCTCCTTTCCGCGCCTTCGCGGCTTGTCCGGCAGCGCGCACGCGCACTTCCACGGCTCAAGGTCGTCGGGCGCACGCGCGCTCCCGGTATCGCGGTGAAAGTGCAGGCTCAGGATGACTTATCAAAAAGCGGAGATCACCTCGCCCCTCCCTCCTCACAGCCAAGCCCAAGCTCCCGCCACCGCTCTGCTTCTCCCTGTAACGCGATTCGCGTCTCCTCTCATCACAAGCTAGAGGCTGAGCGAAAAGTCAAAGCTCATTGTTTGCGTCGATATCTGGTCGCGATTTTCTCACGTGCTCCTCTTCCCGCTAGTGCTTTTCCATTCTTTCCTCATTTACTTTTCTCCGTGTATGCCGGCATACAGTGTATCCGACGGACCAGACCTGGTGTGCACACTCCAACTCGTGCTATGTCGATGATTCCTTTGTACCTCGTAACGTAAATACTTACGAGATCTATCGTTTCATTTTGCTCTTTACCGGTTAAATTATCGATCGACAAGGTCGATCGTACTGTTAGGCAATATGTCAATTTAAAGTTATCGTCCCGACGATTCATGTCCATTGTAATGGGCGACTTGAATGATTTATTATGTGTTTATCTTGACTATTGATTTAATCAGTATCTTTATTGTATGTTGCAGCATCAAATGAATTCGAATTTGACCGTTAAAGCGCTGTAATTTAATTTCGAGAGTAATCATTGATTCTACAAATTGCGCTCGTACAATCATCACGACGCTTACGGATCTTCTTAAACCTTCGATTGTATTTCATTCTGATTTTGTGAAGAGAGAAAAGATTATACACGACTCTATTACAAAACTAAAAGAAAATACTTACCAATGGCAATTTCAATATCTTGAAATCCTTAACTTATGAAGCAGTTATGAATTAAAACGAGAAACTATTCCAAGGATAGAATTTTGTTGACGATTTAGCGAGGATTTAGGACTATTAAGTCGAAAGCCATTTTAATACATGTAATAAGCAATAATATAAATATCTCCATAAATTCTTCTAAATAAGTCTTATTTTCTGAAATTCTATGTATACGTATTTTTTTTTTGCTCTTACAACGACAAAGAACATAATATAATTTATATCTTGAATTTATAATTTAATAAAAATATTATTGTTGTTATTATTGTTGTTAATATTATTATTGTTGTTGTTGTTGTTGTTGTTGTTGTTATTATTATTATTATTATTATTATTATTATTATTATTATTATTATTATTATTGTTGTTATTAGTATTGTTATTGTTATTGTTATTATTATTATTATTATTCTATGAATATAAGTAATAAATAAATGTAATTATTGAGGTATTATTATTTTCTTAATTAGTACATTTATTATTACATTACAAGTTCGGATATCGCAAACTTTTTCGTAATCTCACAAAAAATAAAATAACGCACTATATTCAATTATACAAAGTAGCTCCGAAAACAAGATCGAAACTTATATCTCACTAATGATAAATTATTTGTCTTTGGGCGCACATTGTCGTTAGAATTTATCACTACATTACCATCAACGATCAATTCAAGCTTATTACGTGTTTAATTAATAAAGGGTGTAAGACTTCATACTTTAATAAATATCACATTACTTGAAAATTTTACAAATACTTTACGTGCTTGTACATATAAGTTTGTATTTATACGTAAAGTACAGAATTTATTATACGCTGTAATTGCTAAATGAATAATTATCTAGATATTATTAAATGCATCGGAAACTTTGCAACTATTTCTGTAATGAATGTTGTCTGAGATAAGATTAACGAGCTATTCATGTAATTGTTTATCATACAATAATTTACCTTTCGTGTAGTAATACATTTCAGTATTTTCAAAAATAGCGTTGATTAAGATTTTTTTTTTTTATATAAAGCTTTTATTCGTGTAAATTTTAATTAAACTCGATTAGAATAGTACAATCATGCCGTATTTGTCGTAGTATTTTATAATTTATTATTGCATATTGACATTTATCACTTTTTATTAATCATAATCAAATAAATAGATTTCGATTATTGGCAATTTTTATATTATCGAAACAATGTCAGTTCAGAAGATAATAGGTGTGCAATTTAATGTTCGTCCTAAATTATAATAATTTTTCGTAAATTCTTACTCGTCCCTTTATAATGGTTATTTTATTGTCGAGAAAATACAAAAACTTTTATAATATTTTTAAACACTTCAAACCCTTATAATATTTTTAAAAATAAATTATTGCTCTAAAAAATATCCATTTAATTATACTTATTTATTATAATTACTGTAAAATTATATTATTAAATATACCATTAAATAATAGTATATTATAAAATATACTATAAAAAATGATGTAAAATTGACAATATGTTATCAGAGTTTGCCACGTTCTAATTTGACACATTTTCGTACGTAAGCTAATCTCATCGATACTATTTACATTACAAATATCAATAGTTTAATAACAAAAACATAATTGATCAACAAAAAATAAAAAAAAAAAAGTTTGAATCATATTTAAACATGTTAATAATATATATATATATATATATATATATATATATATAATGTATAATAAATCTCATTAGAGTATGGAAAATAAGGAAAAACTTAAAAATATTTAGAATATATTATATAATCGTTTTTCATTGAGTTAATAAAGTAAATTTATAAGATTTCAATAATACATAGAGATTAAAAACAAAATAATAAAAGAATCATAAAAAAAAATATATCAAAAATTATATACCCAGATTATTTAACATTATAGTATTTAAATTTTAGCAGCGATGTAGAAAGCTAAGAAGTTAATTTTATTCAAATCCTCTAAGGATGAAAACAATTGCCAATAAACGAATTCAATTGGTCTAACATTGACATATCGGGAGAACAACGCAGGTCGAATCTAGTAAACCACTTGTTTTGAGGGAAACTTAACTCGACTCGCAATCCATACGCAATACAAATATTTATATAATTTGAAGGAGCAGTTACGCGTTCCTCGATACGTCTTATAAATCAACCAAACCTGACGACCAAAGAACGTAGAATAATAATTCGTTAGATCGGTCAGGTCGAAAAAGTCAAATATTTAGAAGCCACGCCTCGAGGAATTATTCGTGCGAGGAAGCCTCGGGAGATCGCGATAGCAGATATTACGCGCGCGCGCGCGTATAATATACGATATTAATTTTAGCAAGTCATCGGCGAGGCTTGCGATCGACGATTCGCAGCCAAGTCAGAGCTTATCCCCTCGCATTGTCATCTTGCTCGGCGTCACCCGCGTGCCGAAAATTTTGTTCCATAGCTGCGCCGGCATTTTTCCATATGCCGGGAGAGAAAAAGAAAGATAGGTAGACTGAGAAAAAAAGAACTAGCGAGAAAAAGAAAGAGCGATAGATAAAAAGAAAGAAAGAGAGAGTGAAAGAGAGAGAGAGAGAGAGAGAGAGTGAGAGTGAGAGAGAGAGAGAGATAGGGTGATAGAGAAATGCGCGCGCGCAAGAGAGAGGATTCGTAAATGTTTTTGTGCCAAAGTTTGCCTACAACGAATGACAAGAGCATATATAGCCAAAATACGTTAACATAAGGTATAATATGTATGTTACTAAACTATTTTGTAGTATATGTATAATGTATATTGTAAGGATATGTGTTTAGAATGTATTGTTGTTATTGTCGTTGTAGTAAGTTGTGCATGCATAAATGTAATATTAACATTATTTCTATTAATCGATTACTATGTATAATTAGATTAATCATATTAATATAGCTACGTGTATATAGTATTATGTATGTATGCATGTATGTATGTATGTATGTACGTACGTATATTTATCAACTCAGTTAGATGCACAAGTATTTATATGCACTAATGAGTACATGAATTCCAAATAAATCACTGCCGTCTAATATGTTCTGTTTTTAATCACTTCAATTATAAATTAAAAATCTGAGCTTGATATTGAATTTATGCAAAGAGCTAATTAAACTGTCATTTCCTTGTTAATCGAATCCTAGTTAACAATACATTCTAGAAATTAATTATCTATATAAATAATACATTGACATATGTGATCATTGTACGATGACCACTTGGTAGTAAATGAGAGTATTGGAACTTTTAGAGTAACGGATATTTTCATAATCTGATATACGGTAATAATATCATTAAATACCAAAGAACAAGATATTTAAAATAATTTTAATATATGTTAAGAGTTATAGTGTAGATAAAATTATAATAAAATGAGTTATTAAATTAAAAGTCATTGGAAAATTAATATTAAAATATTATAACTTCTTAGTGGTAAACAATTATATATCGAATCACGAAGATACAAATAAGAAATTGAAATAGAGAGAGAGGGAGGAGGAGTAAAAAGGAAGAGAAAGAGACAGTCGATCCCATAATATTTCATTTAGTTTAAATGATAATTTCTAATGACAATTATTAATTTGCTCACTCACTTATATCATTGCAAAAATAAATGTTTTATTATTGCTCTATCAAGATGTATATGAATCTTCGCATTATTTACAAGATTTTATCATTTTATCAAATTCATAATTGCTATTTAATAAACCAATTATTATTTATAAGACCTTTTTTATATGCTTTAAGAAATAAATTTAAACTTTCGAATTATTGCTTTACCGATAATTTCATATACTAAGATTTATTATTAAAATTAAGTTTATTATATTGAGATTATTTAAAAATATTAATTTAATATTTAAAAGCCAATTGATTTAATTATTACACCATTTTTAAATAATAATAATAATGTTAATAATAAATAAGCTTTTCGTAAAGACTAATAAAATTGAATGCAAATGTATGATTAAGAATCAAAATAAATATCGATAGTGTATACTTTTGCGATGCTACCGTCGATTTTACAATGTAAATTAAATCAAATAATACATTTCAATGAATGGAGTTAAGATATTGAAAAATATATTTACACTAATATTTATATATCTTGCCAAGGCTTATTAAAACGTTTAATTACAATTTCAATTGGAAATAATTTATAATAAAATCTATTAAAGGTATAATTTAATATTTTTAATGTCAAATGTTTTTATTGTAGAAATTATTTAAAATTAAAAAAAAATATATATATATATATGTGTGTGTGTGTACATGGTATATTGTAGGTATAAGTATATTGTAGAATTGGAGCGAAACACCCTAAATCTTATTCCATACATTAAACATACTGAAAATTTTTAGAAATTTTATTTCTTGACATTTCATTATGGTTTATTGTACATTTAAAAATACACTAATTAATCACTGATAATTATACAATTGATCATACACGTAATGAAATAAAATTATACATTTTTATAAATTGTAGTAAATTAAATTAACTTCAATAGAATGCTTTAATTTTAATTTAATATTTTTACTTTGTTAAGAATAAATATTAATGAAAATTTAATGAAAAATTAAGCAAAATTATTTAAACAATAAATATTCTTAGAATTAGTTTACTTAAGTATATTTTTTTCTTCTGTAAGGTTAATAATTATTTATGTGACTCGTCTGTACGAAAATTATAGTAAGCAGAAGCAATTAAAATGTAACGGTTTACGAGACATCAATAACACGTAATTTAATATATTAGAAGATTCATTGCAATAGTACAAATATTAAATAAGGAAAACAAATAAATATCTATTTTATCAATAATTAAAATCACGTCGTAAATAAAAATTAATGTATATGAAATTTATTAATCAAATTATTAAAGAAAATATCTACGCATAAAGTGATAATATTTGAAAATAGAATAATAACTTATAAATATATAAATACTACAAAAATATAAACATTTCATGTATAAATTTTCTACACGTACATGAAACTGTATATTTTAAAGATTTTAATATTTTTTAAAGAAAAATTATTAATTTATAATTTAAGTAACATTTTGATCAAATTTCTTACGAATGTAAAAACAAATTCTAATATGGTTTTATTAATATAGTTTTACATGCATAATAGAATCAGTGAAAAGTTTAGAAATACGAATATAAGATGATAAGTACAAATTGAATATAATAAAAATTAATTTTCTAATTTCTATATTTTGATTTTGCCTTGTAAATCATATATGAATTATACTTCAAGTATCGATACAAATAATTAATGCTTTATAATCATAATTTTTAAATATAATAAAGCATTGTTAAGAAATTATTTCTAATTTTAAAGGATAAACGAATTCCAAACATTTTGTTTAAAGTTAAATATAATATTATGGACGTGAAATAAATTTATATGCACACGTACATTATGGAATTAAATATTGTTTAAAATATTACAAAATTAATCGATAATAGTAATAATCGTCTATGTACGTATCGCGTAGTAAAAATAATGAACAACTATTTCAAATTTGATAATAATATAAATAATAACTTATCAATATTGTTAATATTTCTTTTATTGTTATTGTGAAAAATCATTTAAAATCATCATTAAATATCAAATGATTAATGATAAATATTGTTAAATTTTAATTACAGAAAATGTTTAATTATTCATAATGTACAATTGTATAGTATTTGAAACATTATCCTATTTATTTAATAATAATAATTTTCAATAACGTAATTAATATCTTCTTTTATGTCACATTATAACGTAACATGCGTGACATTTGGAATACGAGTACTTTTCCATTGTAAATGAAGATATTAATTGCATTATGAAAATTAAAAAGCAATAATTAAAGAATATAAATATAAATAATTATAGATAATTTTAATAACCAATATATTATATGAGTATTAAAATTTATTTATTATATGGATTAATCAAGTAATTTATTACTCATAAAAAATCAATAATGAACTAAACATTGAATAAAGTAAATCTTCATCGATCCTTTTAAAAAGAATTAATATTTTATACTTGCACAGATTTATTAAATATGCTTAAATATCTTCATATATATATATATATATATATATATATATATATATATTCACTTATCTGAATTATAATTTGAAAAATTATGCGGAAAAGCATGACTCACGATTATAATGTCCGCCATTGAAAAGCTTTAAAGCAACATATAACGTATTTATAATACTATAGGATTATTAAGTCTTTAATTATTCTATCATCGCTATATGCAGAAAAAGATTTTAACATGTAACTTAAATAAATACGACAAATATGAATGTATTTGTGTACAAATTTATATCACTTTGATCACGAAATATATTAAAAAGCAAATAAGAATCATATTCGTTTTGATAATCTTTTTATCATGCTTTGAAGATTTTTTTTATTTTAAATTATATGCAAGATATCCTATGATATATCAATAGAATATATATCAATAGAAATTGAACTCTTATTAATTACTTCAAATGATAATACTTGTTTTTCGAATATAATTTACGTTGCAAATTTGTAATTTACAATTTTCTCGACATGGTAAAATAATTATTTGTTCTGTTTTCGAGCGTTAATTATAGTCATTTTTTCTTTTCTTTCTTTTTTTTTTTTTTTATAATTTCTTAGATTTTTTTCAGAAATCAATTCAACATTTACTTTTTTTTTTCTTTTTTTTTTTCTTTTTTTTTAACAAGCAATTCTAAACTCATTCGTAAACAAGTTGTAATCTATCATTATGAAATATATCGATGTGCGATATGTAAAGTACGAAGTAATTAAGAATTTCCATTTTACATTTTATTAAAATTGTATTGACATTTGCGAAAAAGAGCAAATCAATTATTTGTTTTGAAATTCAATAGTGTCGAAATTAAATTGTGTAAGACTGGAATAAATAAAATTTTTGTATACCCAATGCTCAATAAATAAAGATCACTCACTTTATTATTATTATTATTATTATTATTATTATTATTATTTTTGCTTAGCAATACTTTCTTCGATGTTGATTTACATGTGTACTATATTATAATATATACGTGTTATTACGAAAAGCAAAGTTATAAATATTTAATTTATATAAAACAATGACTTTGCATAATACTACACATAATTTGAAAAAAGAATACGTTGAATTATGCATGGATAAGAATAAAAGAATCATTAAAGCTGTTGAATCACTTTCAAACTAATCATCGTGACTAGGTTTATAAGAGAAAACTCTTATAAAATAATATTTGAATAAGATAATATAAATAATTCTTAAACAAAAGCTAAATAGCATTTTCAAGACTTAAAGATAACACGTTGTCATGCATTCCAGCTGTTAATAAATAAATGTTCATGGTCGGTGACAAAAATCGTGAAATATAAAATCAATAAAAGCTTAATTAACAAACAAATGATTGCTAATTATTGTTAAAAGCAACGTTGCAAGTTATATAGGAACGAAGCATTTAACAAAAAAAAAAAAAAAAAAAAAAAAAAAAAAACCAAAAACAAGTAAAATGATTTATAAGAAATAAGAATGGTCACCGCGTTATTAAGTACGTATATTTATTTATTAATTATTTATTTATTAAAGCGAAGAGATGCAAGTACACAATAAGTTGACTAATGACGCAAAAGAATAAGCGGGTAATCATATGGAATGCAAAATGGTATTAAACGGGCGAAACAGCACCAAGTCGGAGTACGCGAGGAGGCATCCCCGCGAGACGTGACAATGAATTTCCGGCGTAACGAACGCGCAACGAAACTCGGACTATTGGCTCGCGACGTCGGAGATTAAACCGAATGTTGCATTTTAACAAAAGCAGCAGCGGGATAATGCGATTACGTCGGATACGTCATTAGTACCGACAATTCCTTCACGTTTACGCGAATCGGCGGCAATGGCGAGACGAGGGTGTGCGGAAAGCGGAAGGTTGGGATGAAGCGGCGGCCGTGGGGGAGGTACGACGCGCTCGTGAGCCGCGAGTCGTCGTGACTCGCTTGTAAAAAGAAAAAAAAAAGGCGGAGAGGAGCCAAGAAGCCCTGTGTGCGCGAGAGATTGGGTGTGCGTCGCGCGCGACTCGATGAACAATTAACGTCGAGTCAGCAGCAGTCAGCATACAGGAAAATATATAATTAGTAATCATGTGGACTGGCATTATTCGCTACTCTCGCTATTACAGCCGTTATTGTTGGGCGTAGAAAATGGGTGGTTGTAATTGATTGTGAACAAGGGTGATTGCAATATACACTGCAATTCGAGATTAAGATTAGTGAAAGGAGAAATCAGTGAAAAAGGGAGTCTGCAATATTAAGGAACGTCGACTCGTTCGTCGGTAGTGCGAGCACTTGTGAGTCCCTCGTTTGTTCCTTTATTGATTTTTACTTTTAAATCTTCCGTGCTCGCAATTTTTGAGGTTATAATGTCAATAGGGATTGCGGAGCGAGGTTAGCTTGAGAATTTGACAGCTGCAGTTTTTCCAAGGCTTGGGGAAGTCGGCACTTTCCACGTTAGAAATGCTCGAGCAGTTAAAGCGGTTACTTTTAAAAGGTGTGCTACTTACTTAAGCATTATTGATGAACATTCTTTTATGCCGATCATTAGGTTTAAGGTTTAAAATTTAATAGTGGTTGGTTGATGTTCTATGTAATCACGAAAATTTACAGATAAATGACTGAGAAACAAATACGTGATTTTTTCCGTACCTTCGTGGCTTTTTAGGCCTATCTTGCGGCCTTTATTACAAAGCGGTTTTTTTTCGTTTTATGGACATACGATTTTTCAAAGACGTGTATCTATAACTTATTATATTTACAAATAAAAAAAAGAAAAAAAATTACATGTTACATGCATATATATATATTTTTTTTCATTCCGATTCACTTTTTATTTATAAATTAGATCCTTCGATTTCGTTCTCATTAACACTTTATACGCTTAAGATCTTACATTCCATTTCAATGTTACTAATTTATTAATTTTATAACAAATGATTTTACGTGTAATATAACACGCATGCTAGCTCATACGTTCACAGTTTTTTATGCGATTTCATATGTAATTTTAACTTGATTATATTAATTTATTTAGGTTAGTTTAATGGATGGAGAAGATGAAGACTTGCCTAGGCCAAGTTGCCAGACCCAGTTCCCCAGTTATGCCAGTGGTTCGGCGTTTGATCTTACAGATGATAAGGACACGGACTCTTCCAATTCAAACACAGAAACGCATGGAAATCTTGGGGATATGAAATTTAGTGTGAATGCTTATATCAAGGGTGTCATGAAAATGATGTTCATCATGCGTAACCATAATATGTTGACTGATATCGTATTAGAAGTTGGCTCAGAGATTTTCCATGCACATAAAGTTATTTTAGCAGCTGCTAGTCCTTATTTTAAGGTACATTAAAATATAATAGATCACTCATAAGATTACATTAAAATGGATAATAATGAATAAATATAGTATGAAAAAAGAATTAAATAAATTTAATATTAAATTTTATAAATAAATGGAAAAACAATTAATAATAATAGGGAATTAATTCTATGCAATAATACTTATACAAATATTTGAAGCAGTTATTTATTTTCAAATCCTTCAGAAAATTATTAACTTGTATTTATTATAATTCTTTCTTGCAACGTTTCTATAATTATTATCGACTTATTATTTTATGATATAATAAGTGACGATTATATTAAATAAATGAATTGATTTTTTTTTTTAAATACTTCTCGAAAATAAATAAATTGTTTATGTTATTACATAAATAAGATATTGAGTATTGACATAAATTTTGAAATTAATTATAGAAATATTGTTGTATAAATGTAACTGAAATGAAATATAACATAAATTAAGTAAATCATTATTCAGATATTTTTTACATTTACATTTACAAATTTTTATATGGTAAAAATTATAGAAATTAAACAAAAATTGAGAATATTTTTTATGTAATTCTCTCAAAAATTTATGTTTATATTTTTCTTATTTAGTTAATATTTTAATTAAAAAACTTTCAATATATTATTTAAATCAAGTTACAATTGAATTTAAATTTATTCAAATAAGCGTATGTTGAATGATGTATACATAAAATTCATTTAATTGGGAAAATATATTTGTAAAATTATTATTTTCCCGTCAAACATTGTAAATGCTTTTGAAAAAATTCTTTGACTTTTTGTTTATAGGCTATGTTTACAGGAGGATTAAAAGAAAGCGAGATGACAAGGGTAAAACTATTGGGTGTTTGTCCAACAGCAATGGCTAAGCTAGTAAATTTTATGTATACTGGCAAAATACGTGTAACAGAAATAACAGTCTGTTCACTTTTACCAGCTGCAACAATGTTCCAGGTAGTTTTATTGCTCTTATAATTTAATTTTTTCTATGAGTTTTATAAATTTTTTAAATTGTAATAAAGAGTTCGATTTAATTCATTAAATATAAAAACAAAAATTAAATCGATTGCAACATACGAAAGTACGTTAAGGATATATTATTGTTATAAAATTAATATATCAAATCATATAGATTATGTTCAAATTAATTATACTGATTTATAATATTTCTTATTGAAACAAGAAAGTTGTAATAATTTAAATTTTACATTTATAACCAAAACAATATAAGATTAATATGTTTAAAACTGATTTTCATTAAAAATGCAGGCATATTTTCTCTAGAATATTGAACCTCATGAAAGTACTATTTGACTTGTAAATATTCTTTGTCTAGTACTTTGTTTGGTTAATCATACAAATGTTTTATTTTTATTAATATAAATTTTTGTTAATAAAATAATTTAAATAATTAATCATTCAGCATATGTAGCTTTGCTAATTTTAGAGACATATAATTTTTATTGCTTTACATGTTGTTAAATTATGTGGCTTATAATAAACGATAAAGAAAATAATACACATAGAAAAAAACGTTTGTATCGGTCACTTAGTCGAGTCGCATAAGCTAAGTCACACTACTTCTTTATTATGATGTCAAAATATAATTAAATTGCAGGTATCAAATGTAGTAGACGCTTGCTGCCTGTTTCTTGAAAATCAGCTGGACCCAACAAATGCCATTGGTATATCTAATTTTGCAGAGCAACATAGTTGTTCAAACTTATATCACAAGGCAAATCAATTTATAGTACAGCACTTTAGTAGAATTTGTCAAGAAGAAGAGTTTTTGCAACTATCACCTGTGCAGTTAGGTACAATAATAATCAATTAAATTAGATATTTATTATGAAGCTTTAAATATTTTCAATATTTACTTATACGGCCATGCATATTAAATGTTAACATATTAATTCTATTAATTATATTCTCACAAAAACTGCATATTATTATGATGTAATAAATTATGTCAACACGACAAATGAATCGTTAATGATAATCAAACTTTTTCAAAATGAGTAAAATAATATACAATGATAAAGTAAAATTAAACTACTAATACTCTCATTCTTTCTGCAATCAGTCGCACTTGTTCGAAAGGATGAACTCAATGTTCAAGAAGAGCGTGAAGTTTATAATGCGGTACTTAAGTGGGTTAAATATAACGAAGAGGCCCGGGGTCCAAAAATGGAGCATATTTTGCATGTAGTGCGTTGCCAATACTTGACACCGAGCTTTTTGAGCGAGCAAATGAATAACTGCGATGTACTAAAGAAAGTTCCAGCTTGCAGAGAATATTTGGCTCAGATTTTCAAAGATCTAACTTTGCATAAAAAACCTATAGTAAAAGAAAGAACACCGAATACGCCACGAACTATTTATATCGCTGGTGGATTTTTACAGCATTCCTTAGACTTGTTCGAAGGCTATAATGTGGATGATAAAACATGGACACAACATGCGAGATTATTGGTCCCACGATCAGGATTAGGTGGAGTTTTTCTCAAAGGTGTATTCTATGCTATCGGTGGAAGAAATAATACTCCAGGAAATAGGTTTGTAAACAATGCGAAAGTATATTAGGAATATTACTCGATAAATATTGGATACAGAATTAGTGTAGCGATAATTATGACCTTAAATTTACCTTGAATTGAGCTTGCAATTTAATTTAACAATCACTTTCATTAAGAATTTAAATTTAAATATCATCAAAGTCTATATATTACTTTTATGAGTACAGGTATGATAGTAATTGGGTGGATCGTTACAATCCAGCAACAGACCAATGGAGACCGTGTAGTCCATTATCTGTTCCAAGGAATCGTTTAGGAGTTGCTGTAATGGATGGTCTATTATATGCTGTTGGTGGAAGCTCAAATGCAGAGTATCATAGAAGTGTCGAATGCTATGATCCAGATCACGATACTTGGACGACTATCAAGCCAATGCATAAAAAGAGATTAGGAGTTGGAGTAGCCGTCGTTAACAGGTATCGGACAATTTAATAAATAAAGAAATAGAGGGGAAAAGAATTAATATAAAGCGAGATGCGTACAAATAAATGTAATATGCAAGCCAATTTTATTGCAAATGAAAAGTTAAGCAGCAGCGTTGTTTCAAATTGTCTATTACAAAAGAATGTCATTAAATTTTAAGAATGAATCTATAATCTACTTCTTAAAACAAATAAATTTTATAATATTTCGTTACGCGATTATCATTTGTTCTAGTAAAGTATTTCTCTTTTTATTATAAGTAATTTAAATAATGTGACCTAACTGTTATCTTTATTAATTCATTTTTAGATTGCTGTATGCAATTGGAGGCTTCGATGGGAGTGATAGATTAAATTCCGTGGAGTGTTATCATCCAGAAAACGATGAATGGACTATGGTCTCTCCAATGCATGTTTGTCGATCTGGATCTGGTGTTGCAAGTCTGGGCCAATATATTTATGTTGTTGGCGGATTTAATGGAAAAAATCAAATTAACACAGTTGAACGATACGATACTGAAAAGGATGTTTGGGAGTATGTTAGTGCTCTGCAAACAGCTCGAAGTGCCTTGAGTGTCACCGTACTAGGTGGAAAGCTATACGCCATGGGTAAATATGAATGATTAAAATATTATTGCAAATAATGATTTGATCTTTCGATGGGTGAACTATATTATTATAAAATTAAATGTTAATAGCGTGTATGATAAAGTTGTCGATTAATTTTTTCAATTGCTTATTTTGGTAAGAAAATATCAATTGTATATTAGGTAGATGTAAAAAATGTGAGGAAACTTTTTGGCTTAACAGAATATTTGTAATAATTTTTAATTTTTCTAAATTTAATCTCCTTGATAATTTTAGGTGGATTTGACGGGACTACATTCTTGAACATTGTAGAAATTTTCGATCCTGCGGAGAACAAGTGGGAAGAAGGTGTACCAATGACATCTGGTCGTTCTGGACATGCCAGTGCAGTCTCATATCAACATTGCCCAATTCATTGTGATCATTTAGACCATAACGTAAATTTACAGAAAGCACCATCGTGACATTAGTATTATTTATAACTAAAAAATGACCGTGTGTAAATGTGAATTTAATTATACTTCTTTTATAATTGTTTCTTATTGATAACAATACTATTTTTGATCAAGATACTTTCATGGATCTAAAGCAAAGATTAAATATTGTACGTTTTTAGGAAAATATGTGAAAAGCTTGATATTAAACCTATAATATTATACAAAATAGAATAATCTCGTGGATGTAATAAGATCGAGGAATGGTTCAACGGAGTTAGCAAATTTATAATTTAATCGATACATATGCTAGTTGTTGTGGATTACAGTTGAGTGAATTTAATTTAATATTGTACATATTGAAATTTAACGATTGTTTTATAGAATATATATAATTATTTTATTTCCACTATAGTTTAAAATGTACCTAAAAAGTATATGGACGAGAATATTAATTGCAAAAGAGTAAATCTCTTTTTTTCGATAACACTTAAGTAAACAAGTTCATTCCATATGGTTTCATTCATGCTTTTAGCAATTTTTAACATTATTCATCGGTTTACTTTAATCAATATCTTTAATAATTATAATTTATTGTCTTTGTTATCTGAAATTGTTTTTGGAAGTAACTGTTTTGGTACTGACAATCTGTTAACATATATCCGTCATAAAACTGACATGATTTATGAATCCCATTTTTTAACAAACGGACAAAGTTTATTGAAATTATTCTTTTTCATTTTTAACGGAAAATTTGAAATAATTGATTACATATTATACAAAAAATTTTAACGTAACTTTTGAAATTTAAATAGCCATAATATAGTGTTGAATGATATTGATTAAAAAATAAAATACAATAAGATACACTTTCAAAAAAATAAACTTTAACATTTGCAAATTAAATTTGAAATTAAAAATATTATTCTTTAAATTATTCTTATATGTATAGATATATATGTATATGTGTTTGTATGTATATATATAATAATGTGTACAATGAATGTCTATATGACAAAGTAAAAAATGTATTCTTTACAAAAAAATTTTTATAAAAAGTGAAAATTTTTCAAATGATAATTTTTTGTTTTTTTTTGTTATTAATAACCTATTAAAGTATCTTAATATATTATGTAAATGCACAAAAAAAAAAAAAAAAAAAAAAAAAAAAAAAAAAAATAGGAAACATCATCGATGTAACTTATAAAACTATTGCACTACTATTCCAATATATAATTTTGTTAAATGATTTTTAAAAAAATATTTCAACATATGGCAGTATATACAATCGCAATTCTAATTTAAAATATTATTTTCAAAAATGAAATAAAAATTAGACTGATAATAGAATTATCATTTTATGTTATTAAAATATTAATTACAGAATTCTACAACAAAACATGAAATCAAAAAGTATATAATTATTATAATTACGTTGTAATGCAAATCATAACAACTCAATAGATGTTTTATTGAAGTATTTATTTATTTATATATACTAATTATTACTTATATATATATATATATATATATGAATTATTATTTTTTATTTTATTTACATAATTTTTTAACAATCATATTATATATATTTTTCAAAACTAAAATAAAATAAAAATATATTAAATAACATGCAATATATTGACGTTTTAATAGGTGTAAAATAAAAACTATACGTCTTGGACTAAAGGAAAGCTTGAAACTTAATTACATAAGAAAATTTTAATTAAATCTATTTTTATGTATTGTAATATATATTCTGATTTTTATACTAAAGAGAAGCCTATAATCTTAGCTTATTAAACTAAATAAATTAAGAGTAATTATTTTAACATTTCATAATCATAGCATTAAATAAATAAATTATAAAACAAAACAAAATTTTTATTAAACAATTGGAAAAAGATTTAATTCATCAGTCTTAATACTTTTATAAAATACTATTCTGATATAAAAAATTTTTTATAATATTATAATATAAATTTATAATACGAACTGTATAAATCTTAAAATAAATAAGATATTTATTAAGATTAAGGCTAAAAATAATTTAATAATCTGATCCTTCTGTAAGTGCTATGGAACTTATTTTATAATATAATTTATAAAATTAATTTGTAATTTTTGTTGAAACAGCTTGATTTTGTTACAATTAATATTTAAATAAATAATCAACCTTTATTTTTTACAACTTATACTAAGCAAAAAAATTTCTTTTTTTTTTATATTTTCTGTTTTAATATTTATAAATAATTAATAATTTTTATTTCGTCAGAGATACGTGTAGGGTATAGTTTAAAAATATATAATTAATAAAACACTATTGAATTTATTAATAAAAAAAAAAAAAAAAAAAAAAAAAAAAAAAAAAGAGATTTACATATATACATAATATATCTAGATAAATATATACCAATCTAATTAAACTTCTAAAAAATATATAAAAAAAAAATATATATATATAGTTTATATTTACAAAAAAAGCGCGGTGAGCGAGAACAAGTCGACGTGCTTTATTATATGTAATCTATAGTAAATAAAAGAAAACATTGACGTTGAGAGTATCTTAATATAAACGTGTTTCGGAAACATCAATATGTTATATTTTTTTATAATTTTTGGATGCCTATAATTATGCAAATTAATTAAAAGTATTTTGCAAAATTTTATAAATTAATGAGACACAGTTGTACGAATGACGTAATACGACTTTTAAAGGGTAGGTTCTTCTAAACGACTATTGATATTTTTAATTTATATTAATTGACAGTTTATTCATTGTCTAGTCAAAAATTATTAATAGACATTTTTTACGCCTTTCATTTATTTATTGTTGATACTTGCTACGTAAGTAGTTGGTTCGGCACATTTATTTTCAGGTTATAAATGCTTTTTGGAAATTTATCTGTCCACATTTTGTTTTTTCTTTCTTGTCATAATAATAATTAATTTTCATTGAATATGAGTTGGTTATAATTTGAAGATTTATCTTGTTACAGATAATAATCATTTTCAAAAATAAAAATGAGTTCCATAATTCGACGAAGATTTCGTGTATTTATAAATTCAGTTACTCGATACCAAAAATCTATCACTTTTAAGCGAAAACAGCAGACTTTTGCTGCATTAAATTCTACAACAGAAACTCATCAGGTATATTTTAATATTTTAACAGTTGTTATAAAAGTATATATAGAAAATTAATACCTATTGTTAATATATTTTTAATTCATTAATACAATTTTGATATTTCATTAAATGTATTAAATTTTATTTTAATATATCGTTGTTATTAATTCTCATAGGAATCAATAGAATCAATAAATTTTATTTTAAATATTTTAAAAATATTACCAATAATTTATTTACAATGATATAATTCATTTTTAAGGTAACCAATGACGTGGTACCTGTCTTTAAACATGCTGCGCAATATTCTGATCGAACAGCATTACGTGATTTGCATGGAGACTACACTTATAGAGGTTTATTATTGAGTGCAAAACAGTTTGCAAATGAATTAAATGAAATATTAGGAGAAGGAACTCAAGAAAGAGTAGCATTTTTATTACCCAACGATGCAAGCTATGTTATTACGCAATGGGCATGTTGGATCAGTGGTCAAATAGGTAAAAATACTTTATCGATTTATTTATATATTGATAAATAGAAGTTGTAATAATATGATAGTTATAGCTATATAGATTAATTTAACTTGCCATGGAAATTAATTGATAATTATTTGTAGTATTATAAACGACGAATGACTATATTTAAATATGTATTTGAAGAAATAACTGTAGTTATAAAGATTTGTTAGCTGTTATTTATATAGACATTTTTTAAGTTATACTGTCAATTTTTAAAATTAGCTGAAATCGTAATCCAATATAATTAAATAACAATATATCAACTAGATAATAATGCATTTAAAACAATATATAATATTGTTATATTATAATAATATATGATATAACAATATAATAATATATATAATATAATAATATATGATATAATATTGTTATATATGTAATAAATTTAAAGACTCTCTTGTGATATTACAGTTGATTTTCATTACATGTAATATGTTATATACAATTAGATTTAACTTTATATTTTATAAAGCTATACCCTTAAATGATCAACACCCACCAACTGTTCTCGACTACTACATCAAAGATTCGGATGCAAAAGTTTTTATAACGACACAAGAGCATTTACCAGTTGTAGAACCACTTTTAGCTAAAACTAAGCGACATTTAATAGTTTTTGATAATGTATTAAGATCTATAGCAATGAAGGTGGATGAAAAGGTAGCAAATAATAAAGATGATTCCCAACACGATTTTGGAAACTTAATAGACGCTGGTGTTACAGGTGATTTTTATAATAAGAGCGATGCTTTGATTATTTATACGTCAGGAACAACCAGTAAACCAAAAGGTAAATCATGCTATTTTATATTTTTGATCATCTAAAAATTAAATTACAAATACAAATATTATACAATTTTACTAAGTTTAATGAACTCAAGTTACTGATTATATTAAAAAAAAAGAAAAAAGACAATGTAATATCAAGGTATTTGATATAAATAATTATTGTTTAAAAAGTTTTAAATATCATTTATTAAGCGATAAAATATATTTTAACAATTAAATATTACATTTATCGCATAAGTATGTATGATTATATCAGGAATAAATTAATAGTACTTGTAATAAAATCATTGAATTAGTAAAAATAATCTATGTAAAGTATTTTTATTTCAACAGTTCAAAGAATAATTAGCTACATGTACAACATTTTTCTTTGTGTATTATTGAAATAAATATTAATATAATAATTATAATTTTCTTGCATACCTATATTATCAAAATGCAACTTTTGGAATAATAGTAATTTAATAATGTGAGGAATATTCAATATACGTTTAACTTAAAATTATAATGATTTATTTCAAAAAAGTTTTATATCATATATTATGAAAGTACAAATGAACTTATTAGAATGAAATGCAACTTATTGGATTCTAATGGACTGACGGATTGTATTTTAATAAATTTACTTTTAAATAAATTTAAATTTAATCAACATATAATAAAATAAATATAATAATGATACATCTATCATTATTTGAGAAATAATACATAATAATAATGAGTGTAATTGTGTTTTTCTGTTAAATAGGAGTTGTTCTCAGTCATAAAAATATTTATACACAAGTGAATTCTCTAATCAGCGCATGGAATCATACGGATAAAGATATTTTTCTACATACTTTACCGCTCCATCATGTGCATGGTATCATCAATGTTCTTCTGTGTCCATTGTATGTCGGTGGTCGTTGTGTTATATTACCAAAGTTTTCTGCCTCTGGAGTATGGAGTGAACTCACCGCTGTGAATTTACAGAATACTGATAGGATTAATGTATTTGCAGCAGTGCCTACAACATATAAGAAATTAATAGACGAATATGATCAATTATTTACGAAAAACAACAAAATCAAAGAGTATATATACAATGTGTGTAGTACTAAAATTAGGTTAGTCTGCTATAGCATTTAATGAATTATTTTTAAGTATTAAAAATGGTCACGAACATTTAATTTTAAAAAATTCCTTTGAATATTATCGCCGTTAAAAACATTTTCGTTATTCGTATACGAGTCTTTGGTCTTTAGAAGAAATTGAAACATTAACATATATTTTGTTAAACTGATTTAAAATAAATTATAAGATACAAATGCATAAATGCATACAGATATTGTGTATAATTTAAGCTGTTGATAGTGTAGAAACTAAATTATGAAACTACAATCTAATTAATTTGAATTGTACGTACATAGATTGATGATAAGTGGATCAGCGCCTCTTCCAAAACCAATCTTTGATCGGTGGGAAGAAATCACAGGACATCGGCTACTTGAAAGATATGGTATGTCTGAAGCTGGCATGATGTTGTCAAATCCTCTTGAAGGAGAACGAATTACAGGTATTTTTTTTTAAATAATTTGTTTTTATTTCAAATCAAAGAAAAAACTATCTAAAGTTGTAGGAGGAATTTATCGAGGGTTGAGTAATTACAACAATTTCTTTTACATTCGCGTGCATTAAAATAAATTATATTAAAACTAAAAATTTTTTAAATAAATTGTAATAGCTAATTCAGTTTAAATTAAAAAGTCATATGTTATATTTATTAATATTGTAATCAGTATATTTAATTAATAAATGAATAAATTATTATATATTTGAGGTGTTTGATAGATTCACATTACGTCGTTTTAAACATAAATTTTTATTTCAAGTCTTTTATTTGATATTTCAATCAATATTTATTCTATGTACTTCAATTTAATGAAATTTATCCTTAATATTTCATTAAAACTCACCAGGCTTAATTAAGATTAGAAATTTATACTTTGATATATAGAAAACAATTTTAATATTTAATAATATGTAATTAAGCTTCAACAAATTAAATTTAACTAAATTAAAAATTACCAACAAATAATCTATGCGTTTTGCTTTGCTAATTTATTTTTAATTATTGTTTATCAGATTTTTTATTGTATTAATTTATATACAGGAACTGTAGGAACTCCGTTACCAGGTGTAGAAGTTCGTTTAACTAGATTCCAGTCTAATAAAAGTGAAAAGAATGAACCGAAAGTTCTTGTACATGGTAATGCAAAGTCAAGCCAAGTATTTACTAGCTCTACTAATTCTATAATCGGTGACTTACAAGTTAAGGGAGATGCTGTATTTAAATATTATTGGAATAAACCAGAAGCTACAAAAGAATCTTTTACCAAAGATGGATGGTTTAAGACAGGTACTACTTTGTAATAAAACAAAAAGAAAAAAAGAAGAAAAAGAAAAACTAAGTAAATAAAATTTGTACACAATACAAATACAAATAAATTGTTCCCTTTTAGGTGATACTGTTATGTATGAAAATGGTATTTATAAAATATTAGGGCGTAGTTCAGTGGATATTATTAAAAGTGGTGGATATAAAATTAGCGCACTTGAAGTAGAAACTGCCATTCTAGGGCATCCAAATATTGTTGACTGCATAGTTGTTGGAGTGGATGACTTAACATGGGGTCAAAAAGTAAGTATTTACATTGTAATACTATTCATATTAATGTGGATAACAGTTATTATTATTATTTCTATTGTTATAATTTTTATTATACAAATTATCATAGCTAAGTAAATTTTACTTATCGACGAAAATTTGAGATTAATATTTAAATTTTAATTTATGTAGAAATACTATCAAATTGTTACAGCAAATTTTATAATTTCTATGTACAGAGTTTTCGCCATAAATTTTCTTTCTATTGGTAGATACTGTGTTATAACAGTAAATTTAATTTTTTATATATTAAAATTAATTACAGGTGGCTGCAATTGTGGTTCTCAAGGAAGGTACGCAGTTAATTTTATCTGAACTTCGTGAATTTGCAAAGAAAACACTACCTGCCTATTCCGTACCTACAATATTAAAAGTGGTAAACAAAATAACAAAAAACAATATGGGCAAGGTCAACAAAACCCAAATCGTACACCTACTTTTTCCAAAAGAAACAAAATCATAAAAAATGAAAAAAATTATTAATATGCTCATAATTTCTTATAAAATTATTTTATATAATTGTGTCTGATATTTTTCCAAGTATTTAAGATCGACAACCGGTTACTTTATGACTATTTTCGTTGATCGTTATTAACGAAATTAAGTAGAATACAATATTAAATATTTAAAAGGATTACTAAAAAAAAAGATTAATTTTGATCCACAAAAGATTTATCATTATGTTGACTATCTTAAAATGAAGATAACATAGATTTGAAATCGATAATAAGTATATAGCTTTATTTATATTTTTTTGGTGATTGATTATAAGAAAACTATTTATATGATGGTAAAAATGTTTATATTAGCGTTATTTTATTGTTTTAAAACTTGTGTTAAGTCTTGAGTAGTTTTGAGTAATATTTGTGAAAAAATAATGTCTTATAGTAAAATAAGATTCCATGTATTATTTAAGATATTGAAAAATCATAATCTATTATAATACTTTTTAAATGCTATTTCATTTTTATGTGTGGTAATTAATAAAAATTGAAAGATGATTGATATTATGTAAATTAAAAAAAAAAGAAACATTAATTATATAACAATTAGAATTACGATGACATTAAAAATTTTATTATTTATATGATAATAATATTGAAATTAAGAAATTATTTATAAAATCAATGCTGAAGGATTAAGTTTCATACAACTTTACAATATGATAAAAAAACTTATAAGTAATAATATAGAAAAACAAAATTTATTCAAATTTTCGTTTAGAAATACATATTGCTGCTATATAAATCTACAAAGAATAAAAAATCATATTTCTAATAGTAAGAAGAATGTTCAAATTAAATTTAAATAAATTTTTTATTCAGTTATTAATTATAATTCCAATTAAAACTATTTTATTCTACCATCTTTGTTAATATAGAGAATCAATGTTTTATAGATTCAAAATGACAGTGTTTTTTATTCTTTCATATAGGAAAGAAGCATATTTAATTAAGAGATATCATAAAAATAGATTGCTCTTATAATTAATTAATATGATTTTTATAATTAAATGGAATTAATTATTTTTTATGATTCAAGAAAAAAAAATTTTAACATGCTACACAGTTTTAGCATTGATTAGAAATTTATTAAATATTAATCTGGGTGAAATTATTGAAATTTTATAGCATATTTATACTTCATATAAAATAATAAAGTTTCATTGTGTGTATCTATTTGTTTTTATTTTAACACTACATAATAAATATAATTTATTATTATTTATTATCTTCTTAAGTAGTGAATATTTTTTATTTTGTATACTTAAAAAGAATGTATTTTAATATCTTAGTAAAATATGTTTATATATATAAAATAATTATTGTTACACACACACACACACACACACACACACACACACACACACACACACACAAAATCGTGATGTATTAATTTTCTTGTTTCATTCACAATTGCAGAGAAAAAGCTTTTCCAATTTGTAAAATAATATCTTATTTAATGCCACTACTTTATAAAGTATTATAAAAATATAAAATATTTATTGACATTTATATTCTGTGTTAGTAATATAAAATATGCTGTATTTTGTAATAATGATATGTCCAAAATAATATATATGTGCGTGTGCGCGCGCGCGCGCGCGTGTGTGTGTGTGTGTGTGTGTTTATATTATAATACTATGTTAAATCAATAATAAGAGATTTCGTATATCTTATTTTTTTAATTTATAATTTAAATATAATATTATATCTGAATTTAAAAAATAACTTTTATTTGTAATAATAAGTGTAAAATTATTGTTACAGTGAATTTTTCATGAAATACTGAGAATATATTTTTAATTTTAATATATATTATTTTAATATTTACTATTGCAAAATTTGATAAATATTCTTTTATTTTCAGTTAAAACTCTTTCGAAAATAGAAATATGAGTTCGATTTTTAATGAAATTTATAATAAATTTTTAATATCAATATATATTTATCGTATATTTTTAATATCAATAATCAAAATTTCTTAATTGACAATGCCATAGCATTGAGTTATAGATTCATTTGAAACATTAGAACTATGGTAACGGATTGGCATATGTTACAAGGAAAAATATCCAGTATTCAGGTGTATCATATAAGCTACGATTTAATTAATGATTTTTAGATTCAAATACCGAAAGCTTTCATTTCATTACTAATGATATTTTTCATCGATAAAAATTTCTATAAATATTGGAACTATCTATTCAATTTTCATTCAACTATGTATTTTTATACAAAGTATGTATTTAAAATTGTAAAAATTTTACAGATATTTTCCACTTTCGCAATAATTATTCAACTTATGTATAAGATATATGATTTTCTATAAAATGGATTTTAAATTGTAAAATGCAAAAAGTTGTTTATCTTGAACATTTAATTTAATTATTAATTTTTTCAATATCATGTTCCATAGTAACTATTCCCATTGATTTAATTTCAAATTAGAAATATTAATAATTATTATTTATTGCTTAGAAGAATGGAATTTCTTAAAATTAATAATTTTTACACACAATTACATAAAATATAGCATATATACAGAGTATTATGAACCTTGTTAATAATTTTATTCGCTATACATTCAGTTGTAATGTAATTAAAAATATTTATTATATAGAATTTGTAATATGAATGAAGCATTCTTGTAATATATTTGTGTTATCAAATTTGTCTGTTTTATAATTTTCTTTCAAAACTTAAACAAATTATTTTTATTGACTTATCCAATTTGATTTGAGTCAATACCGTATATAACTTACATTACTAATTCTATAATAAAAGTTATACGATTTCGTTTGTTTTAAAAATTATAACTCATAGTTTTTCTTGAAAAAAATACATATATTATTTATTAAAACAAAATATAATCAGTTTACTAAATAATTTCAACGGATTCATTAACACAAAAGATAAATTGACGTAAGTAATTATTTTAAATCTTTAATTATTCCTATAGAATATATAATCATATTGTGATTTTTTTTTTATTGTTATTTTGAAAATTATATATCCGACATTAAGTTGTCGAAAAAGAGCAATTTTACATTAAAATAAATGACTAAAAAATATAGCCGTATATAAGTGCTCCATTAGGATCTAATGAAATAAATAAGTTTATAGGCAAATATACTTACAGATATTTACGTTTATTACAATTATATTTAATACTTAATTATTATTCTCGAATCAATATTATGATTATTATCGAATTATTATAATCGAATTAATCTAGTAGTATTTTATCGACAGAAAAACTATACAATAAAATATAAATTTCATTATTTGTAAGAAAGGACTTATAAATTATAGATAATATAAACATTAAATCTAATGATTAAATCAATATAAAAAATAAATTGTTACAAAAAAACACAGGTGTACAAATTTTTTATTCAATAGTTCTTCTGATTGTTATATAATACTAATAAACAAATTTCGATTATTTTATTTATTTACAAAGTTAAAATTTTATATTGCTATTATATAATATTTATTATCTTGAATATTTATTATTTTTAGTTAAAAATGGTCAAAAATTATTACATATGTATATTAAAAATAATATATAATTAATTTAATGGAGACACAACATATAATATAACATTGAATTTGTGGAATTTGTAGTAGAACTTGAATTTCTTTTTTTTTATTAAAATGTACGTCATTTACATTAGGAGACATTACATAATGAATAGATATATGTTATTCATTTACGTTATTTTTTTAAAAGTCTTTATGTGAGTATAGAATCTTCATTTCTTAAAATATATTATGTTATAATAAAATTAAAATGTATATAAAAACGAAGGTAAAAACTTTTCACGATTAATAATTTCATGATGTAATAACAATTAAAATAATTGAATAAAATGAATTAAAAAATGAGAAAATTATGTATTATTTATAGTAGAAATTATTTTTGTAATTATTAAAATTTTATAATTTTTAATTTTATTTAAATAAAATATAAATATACTATTACAATAATAGATAATACGTATATAACGTAATATCGATTATAATGAAACAAAATTGCTTTGAGATGAAGATCATTATTGATTAAAAAATAATGGTAAAATTCATTGCCTGACAATTTCGGAACAACTTTTTCTATAATTTATGTTTATAATATTCGAAATTACAACCTTATTTTAAGCACTTTGTTAATTTTATACAAAAAAAAACATTGAATTCACAATAACTTGCATACTTGTATATAATAAGACTATATTTTTTATATGAAATTGGATATTTATATATGTTTATATGAAAGTATGTTAAATAAAGTATTAATCAAGCAGTATAAATATATTTTTACCGAAATATAAAAATACTTTTATGTAACAATACAAAATTGTACAAAATGTAACATTAAAAAAGTAGATATCGTTGATTTATTTTTACTACAACTGACTTATTATTCCTCTGCTGTTCAAATATTTGATTATTTTCTTCTGCAATATTAAAATTATTTCTCTAAAGCTTAATTAAAAAAAAAAAAAATGAATTTCTTTACAGATATTCCAAATAGAATAACTTAGTTAATACGTGTATACGACAATAAAATATAAAAGATTATAAAAATTATATGTTTCATCATCATGTAGTAGTCAATAATGTGGCAGGTAATAATAGTATAGTTGCTGTAATTTTCATGAGATTCAGTATTAAAATAAATTTAAGCAAATTATATTAGAGCATAAAACTTGTTGAATATAAGTCCACTAAAAGAACAATTTACGTAATTGTAGTTCGTTATATATTTACAACAACAAAAAAAAAGAAAAAAAACAATCTACAATTCTCAAATGCATCTGCATTTTATTTCTTCACTGTGAAAATTTCTATTTTTATTACTTGTATTTAATATGCATTGGGTATTTTAAAATACAACCGAAAAGCACTATTTTCAACTATCGTTCCTCTTACGTTATATGTAAAAAAATATAAAATTGATTGGAAGTTGATACGTTACTGGTATCGATTTCTTATGATACCAACTATCCCAACGGTAATGGCTCCTCCGTGTCTCTCTCGGAGAATCGACAGGTCTCATTGATGAAAGATCGAGTGGACATCAGCGTGATCAGATTATCTCTCAAGCGTATTAGCAGTCTCGAAAAGTGGCCACCGGCTTCCTCTCCCCCATCGGTGC